CTAGGATATATTAAAAAGCGCGTAATTAATTCATAAGATACACCTTGGAAAATCTATAAAATGATACGTTTGATGCTCATAAATACTCAAACCTCGGAAAACTATATATGATTTTCCAAGAATTTTCCGTAATTCCCATTTCTCTAATACACATCTGTCACTGTGAAATGAAATGAAATGCAATTGAATTGACCATTATTTTGGCACTAAAACATTGATTTTCACATGATATGTACATACGTTATTTAAAAAATATATGAGAAAACTATTGAGAGAATCGAATTTTTTTTTGTAGGAAATTTAATTGTGAGCAACTTCTATCTGAAAATTAGTTTCGAAAAAATGCATCCTCATTGAGATATTGGCAGTGTTTGGTCAAAAAACGCGAAAAATCATATATGTATGTATACAGGGTGATTTCACTTTAAACACAGAAACTGCAGGCACAGATTAGTTGCCAAAAATTACTTTTTTCCTGCGCGACTCGGTATTCGAGTTATAGGGTGTAAAGGTGAATTTATTCAATGTAGGTAATATTAACCCCGTGGGTATAACCAGTGGCGTGCTACTCAAGGTGCCGCCCCATTTTCTTAGGAAAAAAATACGCCACTGGCGGTTTTTTGTAGATGTCAAATTCAGGTACTGTTACGCTAAATGAATAAAAAATGTTATTTGGCGTTTTTTTTAATAGTAGTAGCCTTTTATGATATAAAACAATGATCTTAATTTTTTTTGTTAACAAACCCTTAGTTTTAAAGCTAAAAAGTGAGAGAGAAAACTTTTACAAACCGATAAAATTGAAAAAAATGCGTGTGAGCCGTTAAATAGAAAACAAGCCACGACAAAATTATTTCAACCGACAAAAAAACAGTTTTTTTAATATTGTTTGCTCAAGAAAGTATTTGAATGGAAAATAAACCTATTGACAGGAAAATTTAGAAACTAAGTTATTAACTTTGCAATGGCGGTAAATTCAAATTTTGACAAATATCTAATCTAGATTTTAAAATAAACGCATTCTCCGCCAAACACGCGCTTTCATACAGAACAGTACTTCACAACGTATAATAGTTTTCGTTTCGTGCGTATCATTCGCGCTTTAATTTTGCTGCTTGTTAAGGATGAATTTATGATGTCTACCACTGATTCAGCTGATTAAGTGGCTGAATAAGGAAAAAAATTAATAAAAACATAGAACTTTGTTTAAAATTTTATGACTTTTTATTAATACCATGTTTTAACTTTAACCCTTTAAACATTAATATATTTAATTGAATATACAAACGTTTATTTTTCCTTTTTCAATTACAAGTTAATTTGTTATGTTAGTTAACAATTATGTTAATCTTTCAGTATTGAGGACCGATAATCCCTGTGTGAAACTTATGGTCCTCATCAAGTTTCCCCAATCCCCCGATTTTTTTCTCCCGCGTTCACACGGACCTCTGTACCTGCACTTTCTCGCCGATCTGAGGCCCTGAGAAAATCGAACCTAAGCAGTTCTCCGTGGGAAACTACCCCCAGCCCATCTTACACAGTCAATTATTTGTGACCGCTGACCGAAATCGGGACAAAACCCTTCCGACCAGAACAGTTATAATCTCTTTAAAAAATACTCTTCAAAGACCGGAGCGATAGTTTTTCGAGAAGTGGGTATTGTGCCGACGCACAAAGGGCCTTATTTATTGAATGTACGTGATTATTTTCGACACCGGCGCTGGATTTTGACGAAATGAGCGTATTCGAAGCTACCGGCCGTAATTGGTAGTTTTCTCTTTAAAGCACGCCCAATGAAATACAAGAAAAATGTTACGACACGAGTGTCGGGAGTATTATTTTATATTTTAAGGACGATAGTGGTTATTTTGTGGGTATCCACTGCAATTTAACGGTTTTTTTAAATGTTCAAGACCTACAGGGTCGAAATTTCCCAGAAACACACGGCTCGGATAAATGCAATGTTAGGATTTTTCGAATTCTTCCCTTTCAAGTCATTGTGCAACGGAATAATGGCAATGAATCGCGTTTGTTGGTGAGCTCTTTGCACAGGTAAGACTCCAACAAAGAGGTTTTTGCAAGGGAACGGATATCGCAATCTAGTGGTAAAGATTTCTGGTTCTTTTAAATTTTTATGAACACTGAAAATCCTCAACGTAATATTATTTTATTTTACGCCATTCTTCAGCAAAGCAAAGCACAATTACAGGATGGGAATGCACGAAAAGAAGAAAATGGTAAAGTAAAAATAAAAAAATTATGCATAACCACAAAAAAATATCAAAACATACAGAAATAAATAGAAAATGAAATCTATATAATAAATAATTATTGAAAATGAAAACCAAAAATGATATGTCTAAATATAATCAGTTCCGCAGGGTTCTGTCCTTGGCCCTTTAATGTTTACAATTTTTATTAATGATATTGCGTCTGATTTGAATGTAAGTTGCTTATGATATGCTGATGAGACATGACAATATTTCGTTCTATAAACAATGAACCTGCATATAATTTACAACGAAATATGAAATATAACTTTAACAAACTCTTCGCCAGGAAGTGTAATATCCTGATTTTTTTAGTCGACAGATGACTGAAATATTATAATTTTATTCTTAAAGGATTTATCCTTCAAAGGACTGACTTAGTTAAAGATTTAGGGGTATTTCTTGAAGCCTCATTCTTACACCAAACTTATTCCTCCGAGGTTTACTACTTAGTGGATATTGTATAGGCAACTTACATTACATCTACCTGTATAGTGTGTTGCGAAATACATACTTATGTTTGCGCTTGTTGCTGACAATTAAGGGGGGAAACAACATTAAGAGGTTAAAAAAAAATCGAATTTTTTTTAATGTATAAATTGTTAGTATAACTATTCGAGAATATGCTGCTAAGAGTTCAAAACAAAATTCCTATTCGTTTCGATTTTATGAGCCTAACGTTCGGTTGAACGTCTATTAGATCAGTGCTCGCTCGGGCACACACCTGGTAGGACGAAGCGCTTGTTCTTGTTCAGATAGTCTAGTCATTTATTAAGCAAGAAAAGAAGAAATGCAAGCTCAGTATGGTGCCTATGAGGAAGAAGAAAGGCTGTTATATAGTGCTGGAATCGCTGATTGATCGGAAAGCACTATATACTATTGACAACTTTCTCAAATTTCTAGTTTGCGGAAATCTTCAAATGCGTTTTTCTCGAAACGACATTTTTTTGATTCACGGGAACTCTAGCTCAAAAAGTTATGAACTGATTGTTATGAAAATTGAAAATGTGTTTATGAAATTACAAAGAACATGAACCAACAATCGGGGTGATATCATAATTTTAAGGGTGTCTTTTTATTCAAAATAACTGAAAATAGATGGTGAAAATCGATACATTTTTTTCACACATGTCAAAACTTCAATTCTAACAACTTTTACCCAAAATGAGGTTCATATTCTTTAAAAACATATTAACAATGCAGGAAAACAAGAAGTGACTTGAAAAAAATTTGTAAATGTAGTTCAAAATATTGTAACATCTTTTACTTATTTAGTTTTCATGTCATATGTATAATATACGCAATACCATTATAATAGGCCCCAACATACTTTATTTACATAGTATTCTAAGTGTAAATTTTTTAATAATTATATGAAAATTATGTATAAATTAAGTAAACTATCAAAAAATATTATTGTGACCTTATGAAGTTACTATTCCTATAAAGAAATATTCAGAATTTTATAGAAATAGAACATGTTTTTTCAGATTCATATGTAGAAATTATACAATTATTACACAGAATTATACCAAATCATACGAGACCAAATATATTAGGAATATTAGGAATTTATATGAGAGATGAGAGGAACCGTTTTAATTATAAATTCATATAAAAAAAATTGTAAAATATTACACACAAATATTATTACATTACATATATTATATTATTGCTATAGTTACATGTAATAATAATAATTCAATTGTTGCTATATTGTTTTAACTAACATACCTGTTTCCTTTAAAAGTCCTTTTCTTGATTGTAATCTTAATAACTCTGCTTGAAGACTGCATTCAAAGTCTGAGTCCTCAAAATGTCCACTGCAAATATTATGTCCAGTTGAAGGATTAAACAAATCGCGTCTGGTGTACCATTCCACACACATCTTTCTAAGTTTTCTATTCTTAGGAAACATATGAAATGAAGAATTATTATTGCAAATTTCAACACTACACCTCATGTTTGGCATTTTAACGTGATAAATGGTAAATTAATAGTTTATATTAACCACTACACCATTAACTTTTCAAAAACTATTATTAATAACTAATTAGTTATTGCAAAATACCCGAACAACTATGAAAATTTTATATAAAACTTGGAAAAATGTAAAATTACTGATTTAGGTCGCATGTAAACAAACATGATTCCTAAATAAAAGGTTAGGAATCTTGTTTTGTTTTGAGTTAAGCCACGCCCATAATGCCAGGAACACACGGGCGCTTTGTTGACGCGCGTTTCAGTGTTATACAAATCGAAGTACAAGCCACAAAGTGAATGCTAGACGCACGTTCAGACTTGTCGAAGCGCGTTTTACAAATTACATCCGACTGGATCTTGCTGATCACACACGCGACTGTGAACGAAGGTTTTCCAGCATTTCCTCTGCTGGAATGGCTCTTCTCATGTTCGTATCATTCTTTGTTATGTCATTCTTGATTGCAGCCAACAGTTCATTGAATGATTTGATATATAGGGAAGTAATTAAAAATTTTTCCGGGTTAGCTCTTAGAAGTGGTAAGTGTATTAGCACAAAACATTTTCGTTTCCATCACTTCATATTTATAAAGATTATGAGTCAGTGATAAATATACTTTCATTATTCAACTGAGAGGTAATGAAAGTATGTTAATTTTTTTCTTTTTAAAATATCGAAACTTTACCAAAATTCCTTAGGCATTGATGATTTTGTGATTACGACAGCAATGTCTGATGAAAAAGAAGCCGGGATACAACGAATACCATTTATTAAACATCGGAGAACATTTGATTATAAATAATTAAGATATGTATATAAAATCAACGTACATTTATAAAAATAAAACAAAAAAAATACATGCCAGACAAAAAGTCAATCAATCAGTCTTAAAGTTAACATTGTCATTCACATTTACAGCAAAACATCGATTTCTTTAGGTTCGTCGAAGTGTTCGGATTGGTCGGTTATGACAATCTTGGGGGTCTCCCGCTTCTGCAAAGCCTCCGTCTCTGTCTGAGCCAGCTTTATCTTCTTCATCAGCTCCATGCAGTTCATGTTATTCTCGTAGTTGAAGTCGGGAGCTACGGGTTGGAAAACATTAAGCAGCTTCTGGAAATCCTCCATTAACTCGAACTTGACGCAGTTTATCAGGATTTCGGGTATATCTTTCGTGGAATAAGAAAAATTGAGGATCATTATTTCTTTCTCGGGTGTGGATTTTTTAGTTTCCTCCTTCAGGAAGTTGTAAGTCATGTAGTCCAGGGCGCAGCTGTTGTCTTCGATGTCGGGGGGTGGGACGTACATTATGTGAGTAGCCAGGATGAGGTTGTCACTGCACCACTTCTCGGCGTTCTTTTGTTTGGTTTTGGTCAGGTTGACGGGATCGAGCATCACCTCGATTCCCGTCAGATGCTTTATCGTTTTCGCCAAGGTGGTGACGACCTCATTGTGCTTTTCCGAAGAGGGTTTAAAGAGGATCAAGATTTTTTCGACGGCTTCGGGGAGGCCGCCTGAAAATGGAATAAATGATTTGTATTTCAGAAATGCACATTTAATTTTAGTTATAGAACACCCTGTACAACTACTATTTGTAAAAAGCTCCACTCACCTGAATTTTTAAACCTGCGATTCCACATGTGAAAGATAAACAGCACAAAGGGGATAATAAAACTTGCTCCTACGATCCCAATAACCAGCGGTGTCCCTTTTTTACCTAAAAATATTAGAACGTTACGATTTTTCCAACATTCCTTACACAAACGTACTGATAAAGACTTTTGACGTGATCGTCTTCATGCAAACGTCTTCCAAACATCTGTCACTGATCACCGAGATGGCAAAATAATAGTACCCTTCCTCGTTGTAAGTCAAATAGTCGAAATGTAAAATCGGCTTCCGGTAAGAGGAGAGCAAGCGTACATCCAACAGTATTATCTTTTTGTCTTTCTCTCTAAACACCTCGACTTTGTAATGACTCACGTTATAAGACCTCGGTAACGTCTGTATCTTTAACGATATCTCATAGCTGTTTGTGAAATCTATATAGGAAAATATCAGCCTCTTGGAAACGGGTACAATGTCACCTAGAACAGTCAAATTAAGCTTAAGCACATATTTACCGGTACGGTGTTGTTACTGTAAAAGTTTGTGTTTGGCATATCAAACAATATCTTCTTGTACATAGCCTCTTGTTTGTTTTCAGCCTTATACTCAAGAAAGTACGTCTTTGCCCTCAGCTTCTTGGCAGTATTCCAAAAGCAAGCATCGTAGAGATCTGAGTTTATCGGTAACTTGACTTCCTTCTCCACCGTGTACATTTTGCAGACATTTTGGTTCTTGTTGTTATCATCGGATATTCTTAGATAGGCCTCTACGAGAAACAACTGCTTACAAAAAATTGTAACACCTAACAACAAACTTACTCTTCCATTTAACATTTGAAAATGACATATTTAACACTGAATGGGCAGATTGGTTCGGTTGTACTTGCAAAGTTATATCCCCTAAATTATTCTTCATTTTCTCACTTCCAGCGAAGGTAACTTGAGTACAATCTCTCGAACCAAAATTCATTGATTTTATTCCACAGGTATACAAAGAATGCTAAAAAAAATTGAATTATATTTATATATCCTGAATTGAAGATGTTATTTACGAATTTCATGCTAATTTTGCCTGTTATACGAACCCTTTCACTACACAGATTTTCTTGGACACTGCACAAATCATAAACATGGACATGATTAAAGAGAGATATAAAGAACAGCAATAATATTCGCATTTTTACGTTTTATATAAGTACAATACAAATTGTTAAACGTTGATCCAGTTACATCTTCTAGTAAAACATGTTATAAGTTAGAAAAATATTGTCAATCATCGATAATGTCTGCAAACTAAATCTATTAAATAACTGTAACTACATCTCCCCCATCTCATAAATATTTGGAAACTGAGGGAGAGAACGTCGGGAATTGAATCGACGCAAAGCAGCAACGCAAAACGCAACTCCAAAATCCTTTGACATAAATAGGAAACGAGAAATGTCCGAATGATAACAAATAATCGAATGGACAGTAGTTTGAAAAAAGATGCCATCAGATGAAGTATTTCTGAAATCGCGCAGGCAGCATATTTTTAACAGTAAGATATGAGTAAGATCATTACTATGCAACTTTTAAAACTTATGATAACGATAAAATGCTGTAAACATATTTTTAACCATTTAAGGAATAAAAATAGATCAACTTTTATTTTATTTTAAATGTTATGTTAAAACCTTATCTATTTTTCTGAAATTCGGTGTAAATAAAACATGATTGCAAATGTTGAAAATATTCAACTTCATCGCTCCTGTACTACCCATTTAAATTTTGCCTGGCCAATAGAATTCCATAACGCAATAATCGAAACGCGGAAAGCTTTGTTGGCAACCCACCTTAAGATTAAAATGCTAAAATAGCAATTTTTAGCTACGCGCATGCCTATTCCCAGTGTTTTTTATCATTTTTACTCATTGATGTTTTAATAACTGAAATTGTTCAAACGGGATTAAATAACTGATGAGTATTTCAGGATTCAGGATTATGGAAGAAAATACATTATTTTTCGTTAAGTAGAATGAGTCCTTATTGAGCAGATAAATCAAATTCAGGAAATAGGAAAAATGGAGACAAGTAATGGAAAAGCAGAAGACGATTCCGTAAGTTTATATTTTTAGATCCTCAGTGTAATTAGTATCTAAATGCGTACGTTGTGAATTATGTTTAAATAAAGATCATAATTCATCTTTACTTTTCGTATAATATCTTTTAATATACTAAAGATATTTATGTTTGCCTAAATATAAATGTATTGTAGAACCCCAAAAAAGACCTAAATGATACCGAGGCTTCTCTATCGCTGTCCATAACTCCACCAATCCCCGATGACAACAAAAAAGACAACGAACACTCCGATGAGAGCATTTCGGAGCACCTAACTTCTAACAGTACCAGTGTAGAGAACGACCGATCCTACCAAGAGATCGAAATCTCTAACAGGCCTTCAACCGTATTTTTTAACTTGCCATCATCCGACGAAGAGAGGCAGCACATTTCTCAAGAACAGCGGCCTCGGTCTCTGGAGACCAGTTTCTGTAGTGATACTAGTGTTATAAGTTTGAATTACCTGGATAGAATTAGTTTCAGAAACATGGAAATGAGTGATAATGTGCGTAGCATCTTGGATGAGATCTTAAACGACGACCAGTTTGTTTCGGGGAACGAGGACTCGGGATCTTTCACTAAGTCCAGGGAGGAAAGTTTGAATATCTTCGCCAACATCGATCTAGATGATAAGAGTTTGACTAATTTTAGGAACAGTCAGAACGATCTAATGGAAAAAGATTTTTTTAGTGGTAATTTTGCAGTACCTTTAGCGAGAGACGCGATTGATATCGACAAACGAGTTAAGGATTTTGAGGAGCTGATAGCGGTTAAAGACAGTACGATCGCTGCTCTCACTTCCGAACTTGATTCGTTTCGAGAACTGAGCAACACAAATTCGGGAAGTATGGTGTCGACAACGGAGTACAAGCAGCTCCAAGAAGAGTGCCATAGCAAAGTAAGTTTGATATAGTTTTTTCCTAAAGTAGACAAACGTTTTTATATTCGTAGTTGATGGAATACAACAGTGCCATAATCTATAAAAACGATCTGATTCAACAACTGAGCGAATCGTTAGACCAGTCGGTTAATGAGAGAAAGGAACTTTTAAAACAAGTCGATATCTTCAAGGAGGAAATTTCGCAGTTGCAGAAACAACTTCAAGACACAACGAGGATGGTAAACGATCACAAGTGTGTTAAAGAAACCAAAGAAGAAACCGATTATACCTCGGCAGTACAAGTAATAAAGGTCAGTGTTTAAAACCGTAGCAAATTTCTATTATGATCCTTTTTATGGTTTAGGAAGATGACGATGAGAAAACGGAAACGTCGGAGCCCGTTTTGGACTTGGACTTGGAGTTTTCGACGTTGGAATCGAACTTGAACCCCGCTCAAAGTAACTTGCTCAACGATTTAAAGATTAAGGTCAACGAGTTCGTCAGACAGAGCGTGATGAAGAATAGGAACCTTTATGAAGAGGAAATAAGTAAACTGAAGGTTAGTTTTGTGAAAAAAATAATTATAACGCAATTTCTTACTAACGTTTGTTTCTAGGAAAATATAGTCCTTGAAAAAGAAGATTACGAAATGGAAATTAACAAACTGAGGGACTTGCTGGCAAACATAAAGTGTGGTTCGACTGAAATTATGGAACTAAGGCAAGAATTGGAGGCGAGACATTCGAGGGAAGTGGAAGAACTGAGGACTTATTTTGAGAAAAAATGTGCCGACTTGGAGAAAAAGTAAGTGAACTTTTGTATTTTAACGATAGAAATCGAAATTCCTCAAAAGTGCCGCTGTAGATGTCTCTACAGAAAATATATTGTTACAAAAAAATTGTATACTATTTTGTTCGTAATATTCAGGAAGAATTAATCCCGTGTGAGCACATATGGCTGCTCTACATACATAACTTTGGGAATGCGATATAATGTATGTAGACCTACTGACATTTAGGATATTGAAATATACTTTGTAGGTTATATATCACAGAGTAACCTACTCTCAGTAGGTACAAAGTAATGCTTTGTGTCAGTAGGCGTTAAGTACCAATGACATTTAAAATATGACATATATTTTGTAGGTTATGTCTACCTACTCCATTAGGTACAAAGTATAGTCCAATCAAAATAGATTTTTATGTTCCAAAATTTAGTTCAGTTAATCAAAGATACGTAAATATTAGAAAAAATTCTGTAGAATCGAATGAGCTACTCTACCCCAGCTGAATGTTAGGGCTTGATTGTCAAAATGGTGTCCAAAGTTCGCAAAAAAAACAGTTTTTTTTTTCATTTAAAAAAAGAAACTAAACATTTTAGAAGAAATGTTTTAGACAAAAGTTGTAGAACTTTTTATAACTAAAATTTTCAGCCTAGCTCGATGTCAATTGAAAACAACTGTATTAGTTATTGCAAAAAAACGAATGAAAATCGCATTTTTTTAAAAGTTCTGTATCTTTAAATCGAAAAAAGATTTTTTTTACGAAACTTTCAAAATATGCAGTCTTTGGCAAGTGGAATATTGCAAAATATTTGTTTTTCGAAAATCTTTTTTTTTTTCCACTTCAGTAAATCATACAGTAATACACTTATGTGACCCATCTTGGGCTTAAAATTTTTTCTAAGAGTTGTACTTTCCTGTGCGTAGTGCAACATAATTGGAAACATGCGAAAAATCTACCGAAACTGACTTCTTTTTCGGCTCAAAAAATGTAGATCTTTTTCGTATCGTTGAAATTTAATCGGAATGGAATTATTGCCATTTGAAGGCCGACATTTTTCCATAGATAAAAAAAAAATGTCTACGATCAACAGGAGGCGAGAAATTTTTATTTTTTTTCAAAAAATTGCTACAACCTTATTTTTTAATATTAAAGTTTGAAAATTACACATGTTGTAGTTGAATACTTTTACCTTAGGCCCCGTAAAATGCTTGCTCCGTTCGACATGTTGACTTTTGTTGGGGGGGGGGGAGAAAGACTGTGACGTGAATGTTGTATTTGTCAATCCTATGTATTGAACTCAGCTGAGTCACAGTATTCCTCTCCCCACCACGTATATCAACGTGTCGAGCAAAACAAGCATATTACGAGACCCAATAAAATTAAGTTTACTGTAAAATTTTTGCGAACTATTTTTCATATTGAAATAAAAATATTCAACTACAACATGTTGTAAATTTCAGACCTTAATATTTATTAATAAATGGGGTCGTAGTAATTTTTTGAAAAAAAATTTTTTTTCTAGGCTCCTTTTGGTCGTGGAACTCTTTTTTTTAAATTAGTGAAAAAATGTCAACTTTCAAATAGGAACAGTGCCATACCGATAAAATTTCAACAATAAGAAAAAGATCTACATTTTTCGACCCAAAAAAAGAAGTCAAAGTTTCAGTAGATTTTTCACATATTTCCAATTATTTTCAAATACGCGCACAATTTGCACAGGAAAGTACAATTCTTCGAAAAAATTCAAGTCCAAGATTGAAGCATGATAAAATTTTTTTTGAAAAACTGAATTTTTGCAAAAACTCAAATATTTTGCAATTTTACCAAAATGCATTTTTTCTACTTGGCAAGTACTATATATTCCGAGAGATTCCGAAAGTTTCTTAAAATGTTTTTTTTTTTCATTTTAAAGATAAAAGTTTTTAAAAAATGTGATTTTTAGTCGTTTTTTAGCAATAACTAATACATTTGTTTATAAATTGACGACGGATTGGGCCCAACTTTTGTCTAAAACAATTTTTTTTAAATGTTTTTAGTTTTTTCTTAATTAAAAAAAAATTGTTTTTTTGCGAGCTTTGGACGCCATTTTGAAAATGAAGCCCTAACATTTAGCTGGGATAAAGTAGTTCATTCAGTTCTAAGAAATTTTCCCTAATTTTTACGTGTCTGTGTTTACTGAACTAAATTTTGGCAAAAAACGAGGTATTTTCGACAATTTGACTGGCCTTTGAGCCGTGGGCTAACGCCTTTGACTAATATTTTTGGCATTGAATAGTAATGAAAATTGATACTATTGAATGAATATGACTCAGTTATATCCCATGGGGTAGATGTTTCCCCCAATGTCATTAGTTAATAACTTATTAAATAAGAAAGTTGAATGAAACATTAAAGATATCTTGATTAGTATGTATGTATGTTGGAGGGTGGTGGAATTGTTTTTCCACCGCGGCACTTAGGCCTTATTAGGCCCCTTGTACACCCTCCTTCATTACTCGAGTACTTTTCTTCAAACCATCCTATTTACTACACGGGTGGCTTGGTGGCAAAGTCTCGTACAGTTTATGTATGATAGCATGGTCCTGAGTTACAAAGATTTTCTTTGCTCTGTTCTCATTACCATTTATCGGGGACCACACGCATGTGGCGGGCGACCCAGGTCTCTGGTAGGCTGCCACAGCCACAACCTCGAGCCTGCCTTAGGTCACCCATCCAAATTCCAGTCTGCGTCCGTGATACTTGCCTCGGCAGATGGAAGTCCGCCCACCAAGACATCCGGCTGGGCGGTCGATTAGTATATTTATTGGAAGACAACAAAGAAATAAATATTTATTTTGAAAAATGCAAAAACAAGTACTTTTCCTATGTTGCCTTTGTGTAAAACTTTACAATTTCTTTCCATTTTAAGATGTGTTGGAATAAAAATTATATATTTTCTGTTCTTTGTAACGTGAAATTTAAGCAACTTCACTTTCTAGCAAGTACATATGAGAAATAACCCATTATTTCATAATTTTCCCATTCCAGTTATTCAGAGGAGGTTTTCAGCCAGCAAAGCAGGAAAATGTCAGGCTCTACCTGCTCGGAGGCCGAACTGAACTCCGACCTTCTCTTCTCGCACCCACCGGGCCCCCACGGCGACATAAGCTACGACCTGCAGCCAAACATCACCAAAAAGGACCTGACCAACCTGAAGAACGAGCTGAACAGCGTCCTGGATAAGATCAACAACTACAACCTCGATAGTATCTCCGAGGAGGACTTCAACGCCCTGAAATCCGAAATGGGCAAGTGCAACCTGAACAACCTGCTCAAGTACGACCTGGCGGTCATCAGGAACGACCTGCAGAATAAGTATCACGCCGAACTGGAAGTACTGAGGGAGGACAACGAGAACAGGGTGGATTTGTTGAACGTGGAGCACGAGAAGAAGCTGAGGGGTCTGGAGGAGAAGTATCTGGAGGAGGTGGAGAACTTGAGGGGTCAGATCGACGAGTTGGGGAGGCAGAATCTTTGCATCAGCTCGGCCGTGCAGGAGGTGGTGAGTGTTTGAGAAAGTTTGGGGAGATGTCCGGGTTATTGTTGTTTTTTTTTAATTTGTGGTATAATTTTTTTAATGAACTAATTTAATGGTGTGGTTCTTAACCGTTACAACTTTTAGAATGTTTTTTGTATGAAAAGGGAAATATTAGGTCTTTTTTCAAAATTTTTGATCAGGTAACAGTAAAAGAGTAGAGAAAGATCATTATTACCCAGATTATGGAGTCTCAATGCGTCTTGCGTGATGTCAGTGGTGCACAGCACTTTGTGATGCAAAATGAATCGATACATATTTATGTGCGCCTACCGAGTAATAATATGCCGCCCCCTCTCCCAATGACAAGCTTAATGATTAATTATAGCTAGTATTTTTACAAATTAACAAATTTTATTAATGAAAATTGAAGATTAGGCAGATTTTAATGCTTAGAATTGAATTAAATTACGAACTTCGATTTTATTGTACAGGGTAGGTCAAAAACACCAAAATGTTATTTTGCATAAGAGTAAACACCTTATTTTGCAAGATATGAAAAAAGGCATTCTTGATAAAAAGTTTTTGCTTGTTTAGAAAATACAACTCACCCTGACGAACTTCAGTTTTGTTGTACAGGGTGGTTTAAAAACACAAAAATGTTATTGTGCGTACGTGTAAACTCATCTTATTTTGCAAGATACGAAAAAAAGGCATTCTTGATAAAAGGTTTTGCTTGTTTAGAAAATACGAATCACAGTGACGAACTTCGATTTTGTTGTATAGGGTGGGTCAAAAACACAAAAATGTTATTTTGCGTAGGAGTAATTTCGCCTTATTTTGCAAAATACGAGAAGAAGGCATTCTTGATAAAAGTTTTTGCTTGTTTAGAAAATACGAATCACCCTGACGAACTTCAGTTTTGTTGTACAGGGTGGTTCAAAAACACAAAAATGTTATTGTGCGTGCGAGTAAACTCATCTTATTTTGCAAGATACGAAAAAAGGCATTCTCGATAAAACGTTTTGCTTGTTTAGAAAATACGAATCACGGTGACGAACTTCGATTTTGTTGTATAGGGTGGGTCAAAAATACAAAAATGTTATTTTGCGTAGGAGTAAACTCGCCTTATTTTGCAAAATACGAGAAGGCATTATTGATAAAAGTTTTTGCTTGTTTAGAAAATACGAATCACCCTGACGAACTTCAGTTTTGTTGTACAGGGTGGTTCAAAAACACAAAAATGTTATTGTGCGTGCGAGTAAACTCATCTTATTTTGCAAGATACGAAAAAAGGCATTCTCGATAAAACGTTTTGCTTGTTTAGAAAATACGAATCACGGTGACGAACTTCGATTTTGTTGTATAGGGTGGGTCAAAAATACAAAAATGTTATTTTGCGTAGGAGTAAACTCGCCTTATTTTGCAAAATACGAGAAGGCATTATTGATAAAAGTTTTTGCTTGTTTAGAAAATACGAATCACCCTGACGAACTTCAGTTTTGTTGTACAGGGTGGTTCAAAAACACAAAAATGTTATTGTGCGTACGAGTAAACTCATCTTATTTGCAAGATACGAAAAAAAGGCATTCTCGATAAAAGGTTTTGCTTGTTTAGAAAATACAAATCACGGTGACGAACTTGGATTTTGTTGTATAGGGTGGGTCAAAAACAAAAAAAATGTTATTGTGTGAAAGAGTAAACTCACTTTATTTTGCAAGATATGAGAAAAAGGCATTCTTGATAAAAGTTTTTGCTTGTTTAGAAAATACGAATCACCCTAACGAACTTCAGTTTTGTTGTTCAGGGTGGTTCAAAAACACAAAAATGTTATTGTGCATGCGAGTAAACTCATCTTATTTTGCAAGATACGAAAAAAGGCATTCTTGATAAAAGTTTTCGCTTGTTTAGAAAATACGAATCACCATGACGAACTTCGATTTTGTTGTACAGGGTGGTTCAAAAACAAAAATGTTATTGTGCGTACGAGTAAACGCATCTTATTTTGCAAGATATGAAAAAAAGGCATTCTTGATAAAAGTTTTTGCTTGTTTAGAAAATACGAATCACCATGACGAACTTCGATTTTGTTGTACAGGGTGAGTCGAAAACAGAAAAATGTTATTTTGCGTAAGAGTAAACTCACGTTATTTTACAAGATACGAAAAAAACTTTTATTAAGCATGCCATATTTTGTATTTTGCAAAATAAGTTGTTTAATCTCATGCAAAATAACATTTTTGTGTTTTTGATTTATCCTGCATAACAAAATTGATGTTGGTCATGGCGAATTGTATTTTCTAAACAAGCAAAAACTTTTATCAAGAATGCCTTTTTTTCATATCTTTCACGTTTTGGTCCAATTGTCCTATTGTAAACTCAATCCGCGGACATACTGTATATTTTACTCGGCGGTAATTTCCAATTAAATGAAAAATTCCGCAAATAAATAATAAATTGACCCGTTTTGAGTGCTCCAAAACATTAAATTAGTCCTTTTTCGCTAACAGTTGATGTTCTCAACCAAGAACAAGAAGGCCATTCTGAAAGATTTTCTTGAATGTTTATGTTAAATTTTATTTAGAAATTTATTGAATCATTCAAGTCTTCACGATTAATTTGGTTAATATTTTTTGCAAGCGCAGTTTGTTAACGGTCAGTTAAAATATTAATTCCAACAGATAACTTTGAGGTTACGTAATTCCGTTAATATTGAGTATTCGAAAAGATATCATAGTAACATCCGAAATTTTTTTTTTGATAGGACCAATTGTGAAAAGTTATCGGGCGGTTCGGGTCTTTTTGGGACACCCTGTATATAAAATTATTTAATGTTGGGCTTCGTAATATAATCAATCACGTAATAATTGCCGAAATTAGTAAATTAAGCTAATAACAGTGCGTCTGCTGATTTCCGTCATTTACGATGAAATACTGACTAAACTGCTGACGGTAACGTCGGTATGCTAGAGGATATGAGACGTGAGGCTTTATATTCTAGGTGGTATCAAAACAAAAGAAGATTATAAGGAATAGAAAGACAACAAAGTATATTTTTTTAATTTTAACGATGTTAACGGGTTAAGAACCACTCGTCGATCTCAGTGTGCTAATTCGTTCTGTCTTTTGTTTTCCGCTAACCGCATGTGTCTAGACGAGTTCTGGGGAGTTTGAAATCACCGAGGTGATTCAGAGCTACGAGCGGAGGCTGCAGCAGCAGGTCACTCTTGCTAAGATCGACATTATCTCGGCCCTAGAGAGCCAGATACAGGTACGGTTTCTTTCCCGTCGCTTAAATTTGACACCGCTTCTTGTAGCGCTTTTCCCATATCCATATCCATGAATGAGGTCATGTTTATACCGAAGCTAGCTTTGGCCTTTAGTATCGTGCATGTCGATAAATTTGTTTTCTCGAATTTTGTCATAACTGAATTTTTTTAACTTGATATTCATAATATCAAGTATAATGTAATAAAATGAAGCCGTGATATATTCGGCCATTTTTATTTTGCCGAATTAAAGTTTACCGTTTGTTTTTTGGATGTCTACCACTTGGTTGTCATATCACATCAGGTGGATTGATGTTGTGTACATCGCGTAAATCAGCTCAAAGTCGGAGATTGTTAACACTGAAATTCATAAACTAAACACAGTGCTTTAAAAAAATAGCAAATAATTTTTATGTCACAAAACTACATAAGCAATATATTGTTACGTAATTATTTTCCATTGAAGTTTTGCTTCCTGCCACTCTTCCAGTTTCAGACAATTGGTTCAAAATGTTCCATAACTTTGCCCAGGTTTTATTAATATTTAACTTATCTTAAATATTCTTTAATCGAAATTATATTGTTGCTCAACGACCAGTCTCTCATCGTTTGTCATGACTTTTTGCATTGCTTACCTGGAAAATTTACTTAAACAGCGCTTTTGGTGCTTACGCCCCTTTCCGCGGTCGACGGCCAAAAAGCAGTTTAAATTTGTCTTGAAATACCTCCCCTCTAAGTAGCATTTCGAATATTTTAGCGTCTGGCGTCCAACGAGGCGGACGACGAAGAATGGCCGTCGGAACTGCTCCAGCTGAGGGGCAGGTTCACCGACAAGTACGAGAACGAGATAAGGCAGCTGAAGGAGGAGCATCGCTCGGAAGTAGAGAAACTGAAAGACGAGCACCTGAGAGTGTTGAACGGTGCGCTGGAAAGGGCCAGGAGGCGGAGTTTGAGGGACAACGACAGTTTGAGCAAGGGAGATTTGGAAATTCTCAAGGAGAGGTCAGTGATGTTTGACTGTTTTTAGGTCCCCGATTTTAGAGTACTGTCATTTATTTCTCTAATATCTCGCTCGTGTCCGTACTTTTGGAATACAATGTATAAGAGAATATTACCTTTCCTCTTTACCTTTTTATATCAGTTGTTTTCATTTGCCATGTCAAGATAGCATGATATCAAGAAAATGACCTCTATAAAAGTTATCAAGGTCATCGGAGCATTTTCAAGGTCATTTGGATGTCAATTTTGGTTTTTCAATTGGAAACCTCAATTTTTGCCTCCATATTCAAAAGGTTTTAGAATTTTATGTCTGGATATGATTTCTAATTTGAGTTCAGGGAATTTTATTCAGGAGACTTTTCAGAGGTCGTAATTACTTGAAAAATCTAAGAAACTCAAATTAGAAATCATATACGGACGTCAAATTCTCCGCTTTTTCTGAATCCAGAGTAAAAATGGGGATTTCCATTTGTAAAACAGTTTTTAACCTTCATATGACCTTGAAAATGACTCAAGGTCAAATCCAAGGTCACCAAGCGGTGGCGCCTGAATTAAAGTTTTTCAAGACAACTCCGCCACTTTTTAAATCATTCCAATGAAATCTACTTGCAGAGACAACTTGAAAAAACAAGTTTCCTCGTTGCGGAACTTGCTCGGCGAGCTCCTCAAGTACTTCACCCAGTGCGAGGACGAGCTGAACAACACGCTCGTCGACGAACTACTGCGGCAAAGCTTCGACAAGAACCTGTCCCAACTGGAGGACGAGCTCAACCTGAACGACTCCAGCGCCACCAACTCCAGCAAGACCGGCGACAGTCTCGCCAACGTGACCCGGGTGCACCTCGCCCCGAATTTCTCCGATCTGATCAACCTCGTCGAATCCGGCTCCCGGGAAGAGGGCGACTCGAGGGACATATCGCTGGACCTCAAGAACGAGCTCGGCATTTGCCTCGACAAGCTCAAACAGGAAGCGAACGCTATCTTAGCGCTCACGAGTAACATCGCCAAGCAAGGCTCGAGCGTTAACGTGAACGTGTCTCCGAAAGGTAACTCTCTCGAGGAGAAACTGTCGTCTATGACCAGGCAGCTGATCAGCGAGGCGCAGGTCAAGGAGAGACTCAGGGAGGAGCTGAGGGAGGCTTCGAGCATCATCGAGACTTTGGAGAAGCAACGGGAGGAGTTGGAGGGGCAGTTGGATGGGGTGATCGCTAAGGATAACGTGTTGGAGGAGGAGTTGGCGAGGGCGAGGAGTAAGATAGCGGAATTGATAGAGAACGGGCATAAGGAGATTGTTTCTGAAGGGTACGGTGAAGAGGGGAGTATGGAGATGCAGGAAAGGGGTAAGTTGGGAGTTTGTAATTTGGCTAGAAGTTTCTTAAGTTCATTAAAGAAAATCCCACTTCTGATTTTTTGGTAAATTCGACCTTTTACAAATTAAATTCAGCCTTTTGTAAATAAAACAATGGATTATTTTACAAAAATATACTTTTGAATGACCAACCAACAGAAGTTGATATTCGTTACTTGCCTAAATGTTCTTTAAATTCATTGAGGAAAATCCCACTTCTGATTTTTTGGTAAATAATTTACAAATCTGATCTTTTGCAAATCAAATTCACTTTTACAAACAAAAGTCTGCGGTTTGTAAATAAAGTTCGCCCTTTTGCAAATCAAATTCTATTTTTCTAAATCAAATTTACTCAGTTGAAGATAAAACAATACTTTGTTTTACAAAAATATAAAGTTAAAACAGTTATCAAAAGATTATTTTTGCAATTTGCCTAAATGTGTTTCAAATTCATAAAAGAAAATCCCCATTCTGATTTTTTAGTAACTTCGACCTTTTACAAATTAAATTCATCCGTTTGTAAGTCAAATTCATCTTTTTGTAAATAAAACAATAGTTTATTTTACAAAAATATGCAATATACCAACTAGCAAAAGTTGATATTCTTAACTTACCCAAATGTTCTTTAAATTCGTTGAGAAAAATCCCACTTCTGATTTTTTGGTAAATAATTTACAAATTTGACCTTTTGCAAATCAAATTCTATTTTTCTAAATCAAATTTACCCAGTTGAAGATAAAATAATACTTTGTTTTACAAAAATATAAAGTTAAAACAGTTATAAAAAGGTTATTTTTGCAATTTGCCCCTCCTGATTTTTTAGTAAATTCGACCTTTTACAAATTAAATTCATCCTCCAATAGTTTATTTTACAAAAATATGCAATATACCACCTAGCAAAAGTTGATATTCTTAACTTACCCAAATGTTCTTTAAATTCGTTGAGGAAAATCCCACTTCTGATTTTTTGGTAAATAATTTATAAATTCGACCTTTGAACTATTTGTAAATCAAATTTGCTCTTTTGCAAATGAAATTATTCCTTTTGTAAATCAAATTTACCCAGTCGACGATAAAACAGTACTTTGTTTTACAAAAATATAAAGTTAAAACAATCAGTCTTCAAAAGATTTTTGCAATTTGCCTAAATGTGTTTCAAATTCGTAAAAGAAAATCCCACTCCTGATTTTTTTGGTAAATAATTTAAAAATTTAACAGTTCCACTTTTTGTAAATCAAATTCACTCTTACGAATTAAATTCAATTTATTGCAAATTAAATTCAATTTGTTGAAACTAAAATTTATTTTACAAAAAGACGTTCTTGAAACAACCAATCATCAAGGGTTGATTTTATAATTTGTGTAAATATTCTTCGAATTCATAAAAGAAAATCCCACTTCTGATTTTTGGCAAATAACACAGCACCACAAAAAAAAAGAAAGTCGTGATTTGGATAACTGACAATGGTATTCCTATGTATTTTTCGACGCTGAATCCGAATCCGATGGCAAAAAAATTCATAAACCCCTTAAATTTATGTGTAAAGCCAAAAACATCCCGTAAATAGGGGTAAAGTTACGAATATCAGTACCATTATGGAAAGGAATATGAATGGGCTCTTTGCAACCCCCGTATTCTCATTTATTATCGCCAAGGGCTACCCCAAAGGGGTTGGTACGCATTCTACAGCCCTTCTAGTGTTCTTTTTAAATCCATTGAAAAAAATCCCACTTCTGATTTTTTTTATGATAAATAATGATAAAAATTTTCACTTTGCCATTGTTATAATTCACTTAGTAATTTATTTATATTAAATTAAGTGATTTTTTCTGTGGGCACAAAACCTGTAAATATCAATTAATGGATGAGTATTCAAAATTTACATCAATGTCTTACAGAAAATAATAAATTTTACGATGTTTATTTATGTCCTGGTCTCTATTAATACGGTCATTACCACTTCCTTTAATTACATATTTTATTTACACAATTATTGGTCTTAATTTGTTTGGGCCCCAAATTATATTTACTTTACTGATAACGGAAGTTGTAGGTACAATTTGTTTCTTGGTAAAGATATAAGTAGGCGTAGTAGCAGCGAGCCTAAATTTTCACTCAGAAAATGGTCAGGCTCTTTTTGTTCTCATAAAATTAGAATTACGATAAACCACGTTTTTTTTTTTCAATATTTTTTAATATTCGGCGGAAAATAATAGAAATTATCGATCTAAGCCAATCTCGAACGCCTTCAATAGTAACATCCTTTCAGGCGATGCTATGACAATTCTGGCCGACTTACAAGAGAAAGCGAGGAACATGCTGGCTCAGTCGCGTGCAAGCGCTGATCCGACACTGCTGCATCTCATCGAGGAGCTGTGCAGGGTCGGGGAGAGGATCAAGGAGGAGTCGCAGAAGGAACGACTCGATCTGTTGCTACAGGTAAGCAATACCATTATTACGGCATATTAGTCGCCGAAACTACATCTATCATTTATTTTAAGTCGGTGTTTAATAACTGCGATATACAGAGTGTAACTTCGAATGGGGGTCGTATTTGACAGTGACAGCACACAAACACACCGTACCGTCGCTAAACAATCAAAATGTTAAACAATTACACTATATTAGACCTTTGGTAAATACTGCTTACTGTAAAACTAAAATTGGTTGTTCTTTTGTTTGCGTAGCACCATGTTGTCGTATCCCATCAGGCGGATTGGTATAAGATTCACGAACTAAACACAGTGCTTGAAAAAAATTTCTGAGTAATGTTCAATTGCTGGACAGTTTTGTGAAATTTTATTCTTTTGTTTTGAATTTACAATACATTATTTTTTTATTTAATTTTTTTAAAACTTTTTGTTAATATGATGACTAAACATTTCGCAAAATCGTGTAAAAGCAATGTATTAACAAAATTATTTGGTTTAAAAAGATAACACTAATAAGTGCGCACATACAACCAAGGTCGGGTCTTGCCCAGTAACGGCGTAGACAAGAGTGCAGTTTGAAACAAGAAATTATGACCCGACTATTTATTTGAAAAAATTAATTTCAGATAAGTATCCTGGTGAACGCTTACTTTTACTCCCTTCCACTTAAAGTTCCACTGTGTATAATAAATTCTGTACCCCGTTTAGATCTTGACAACTTGGAATTTGTACGCGGACTAAGAGAATATACAAGAAATGTATTTGTGCGAGTGGTATTTCATGGTTTTTGTTTTTTTTTGGTAGGTAAAAGAGCACATGCCTTCGAGTAGTTGTGGTGAAAAGGTAAATAAAAATCGCTGTCGTAAATGGGGGAGGTCAGCATCATTAATAAAACTAACAAAGATCACTGCTTGTGTCCCGTTTCGGGTAACGTTGCACATACGCACAATTTAACACGACGTGAAACATTTAACTTTCTCCCTTTTTGCTTCATTTGGGTAAATGTGGCTCAGCATTATTTCATGGTAATCGCTCCATAGGGTTCAGGTCGGCTCAGCGTGGCGGACATCGCAAATTCCATTTGTACAAATGAGTTGTATATTATGCGTTCGTGCATGTGGGGGATGTTGTTAGTCGTGATGTGGTACAAATCTATTGTTTTTGTTTGCCGAATGTGTTTTTTGCCACAACTTGAAAAAATTTGTAGAACTATTTGTGAAACGTTTCAATTTTAAACTGCAATTTTTTTCTATATAAACAGAGATCGACTACTAGGGCATACTAAAAGTAAAAAATATACTGGGTGTTTTCGAAAAAATACCGTAAATTTTGGGGAAGGGTGCTAGAACATCGGAAAATAAGACAATTCTTTCTTAATTCAAATAATATTTTTTGAAATGAAATTTTGTCCATATATTTTCCAAAAAACAACGTAATACATTGAAACTTGCAGGTAAAATGTCATAGCTAGCGAAAAAAGTGAAAAATTTACAAAACTAAATGATTTAGCACACTTAAAACTGTAACTTATATCAAATTTCAATGAATTATACTTTTTTTTTGAACAGGAAGGGGTTAAATTTTTGTTTTAAGAAATGTTCTGTCTTTCAAAAAGAAAAGACAATGTGGTTTATAGGAAAAACAACCTTATTCTTTGATGTTCTATCAGTTTCTGTATTTGTGGCACCTTTTCCAAAACACCCTGTATATAAGTTTTCCAAATGATTTATTTTGTGTATCAGAAATATATCAAAGTTAAACTTTCTTATATTAATTTTTTTGAAGTTTTTTTTTTTTAATTATAGAACAGCAAGAAAATTGGGATAAAAATGAAATTCACTAAAATTTTTTCTGTTTCTAATCTTTTTCATATTAACAGTAAGAAGTGGGTTTCTTTTTTGGTAATAGTCCAAATATATCTTCTGCAGAGGTAATCTGTGTATAAATGTACAGAACACGTGTATATTATGTAAATTGAACTATGATAGAAATCGTCGAGTTTCTAAACTTAAGTGAAAATGTTTTAGTGAACGTCGGCCAACGCCTTTATATACACATTTTCGTGCTGTTATTTTTGCTCATTTTCTGCTTGTCTATGATGACAATGGTAGGTGTTTTCTTTTTTACATGCTTTCTTCCTTTCATTTTAACACCCACTTGTTTTTTTTTTGAAACCTAAAAAAAATGCACGGGCACCGATACAATAAAAAATTTTTCGAAAACTCATCAAAAGTCGACATTTTCGTTAAATTTTCAGTTGATGAAGCAAGTCTTTTTTGCTGCGAAATCCTTTTATGTTCTAGAATGTCAATTTTTTTTTCATTCTAGAACATAAAACAAATGTCAAAATAATTTGTCATTCAAATTTAAATTTCGTATTAATTAAAAAAAACTCGCCTTTCCGAACATTGATTTTGACACGGCTTCGATGTCGACCCCTCCGTACCGCATCCCCCCACATCCCCACCGCCTTCTCGGGGCTTGCCATATCATTTACGCTACCCACCTGCTGCGTTCCGCAGATCGACGCCGCCGACAAGAAATACCGCACCACGCAGAAGTTCCTGGAGGAGCAGGCGGCGGAGAGGGAAATGGAACGCGACGAGGCCCAAAAGAGCATCAATCGGCTGCGGGAACAGCTCAAGGACAGGGAAAGGGACAAGGCGAGCTGCGAGAGGTACAATGCGGAGGTGAGTACCCCCGCTTAGAGTGCCGTCTGTCTCGCTTCCACGTTTTCCGTTTGTGACCGGCTTTGGCTTGTTCTTCGACGTAAAAGAAGTTTGGTCTTTGTTTTTTTTTGTGAGGATGAGACTAATTTTAATTTTTCCGGATAATTAACCGTATTAACCACTAATTCTTGTGTAATGTTTGCCAAACTTTGTTTTTCTTGATCGATTTTCACATGTGACCGAATTTCTTTTATGTTCGTCTCACTAAAAAACCGCACTAACCGTTGTTACTCATTTTGCATGTGTTTTGGGTGTATTACAGGTAAATGGTGTGTGCTGTTGGGAAAACGGGTGCAAAAAAATGCAGGTAAATGAAAAATTGACTTAGTTAAGTTATTCGCTACGTTATTTTCCAAATTTTGTAACTTATTTCGTTGTTTCAGCGTCTTCTGCTTTTCTGCTTCAATTTCGTGTGTTTACTTACAATTTTCTCGATTTTCATGTTTTAATACGACTTTTCTTTTGATTTTGCGCTAATAACTACTTTCGAGATAACAATGACTTACGATTCGCAAAACACTGTCGTTATTCTAAAAATCGTTATAAAAACTTCCTTTTAACGTACACTAGTGCACTAAAAAACAATTCTGCCCAAAGTCTTGCCTCTAATTGCAGTTTCAATCATTTTTTTCCCGTTTTAATAACTACAAATAATTTATTAACGTTCTAAACAGCCACTGAGTGCTAATTAACATTTCTAACTTGTCAACCAGTTCAAAAACCCTCCAGACATCAAGTCTAGGCAGCCAGACTGCCCGTAACCTGTAGTAAACCAAGGGTTTTATTTTTAGAATGCAGGAAGTTTGTTACTTTGCACTTTTTAACGACTTGGGCCATCCTACACACACACTCAGGCATGTTTATTTTTGTCACAGAGTTATTTCTGTGCGCCCACAATTCAATCTGATGCACCAGAGATAACATTTAGTGTAGTTTGTTCCATTCACGAAGTTCTATTTGCGGTTTAATAGACGTTTATTTGCGTCACAAAAATGTGAGTTTGTCGTTTGTTTTCAACAAGTGGCCCCAAAATTTTGACAACAATCAATTGAAAACTTTGTATCTCCGTCTTATAATAATTCAAAACATAAGAAAATGACTTTGTTTGAAATCAATCATTACTAACGTCTCGCCAGGTCGAGCAGCTAGAGCAGCAGCTGCAGGAGATGACCAAGCTCCTCGCCGAGGAGTCGAGACGGTTCAAGGACTTGGAGGCGGAACGTAACGAGGCTGTGAGCAAGATCAAGGAGCTGCGGGACATCATCTGCGAGCTGGAACTGCAGACGGAGGCCAAGACGAAGGAGGTGGAGGACTGCCTGGAGGTCATCCACAAGCTAGAATGTATAGTGGAGCAGCAAGACAGGTCCATTAACGAGCTGGGGCAAAAAGATTCACTCAGGGACGTTTCAGATATCCACCAGCTGCGCAGGCACATCGAGTCGTTGGAGAGCGAGCTGCAACGGACGAGGGTGAACTCGGAGCTGGCGGGCAGCGAGGGGGCCCTGGCGCAGATCCACGTGCAGGTTAGATATTTTTTTGAAAACGAGGCGTGTTTTAAAAAAAAAACGTTTACAGCTCTGCGATTTGGAGGCTTCCTTGGATAAAAAAACCAGGGAATTGGAGACTTTGCATTCGACCGAGACGAATTGTAGCTCTCCTTCTGAGGACATCTCCGCGAGAGACCTGGTAAGTCATTAAAATGTCATCCGATCCAAATGAACTGTATCCAGTGTCAAAATAGGAACGTTCTGTTGTAACGAGCACCTGTTTCTGTCTTTGCTTATCGCGTACAAGAAGAGAGACGACCAGCGCCGCATAGTTTCATTTCTCGATTTGTCAGTTTCCAGCTTAGGCGTTTCTTTTCATGTCATATGCGTGCAAGTAGGAAAAACGAATGTTTCAGGTTCAACCCAACATCCCCGGTACCATGGACGAATGTGAAGTGCCCCTCCAACAACTAGCCAGGCTGAAAGAAAAGCTCCTCCGCCACTCCAGAGCGGAGGAGGCGGCCATAAAAAGAATTCGCGACTTGGAAATGCATGTTTTCAGCTTGAAAAACGAGCTGGAGGTAAATATTCGAATAACTACACTCGCAAAAATCCTAACCCCAACTCTTTTAGGAGTCGAACGGAGAAAAAGACTGCATGAAGAAACAAATACAGGAGCAACTGGTCCTGATATCCGACTTCCAAATAAGGTTAGACGAGCAGAGACTACGCGCCGACCACATTGAGAAGCAGACGAATACGTCATTGGAACTGAAAATCTACGATTTGCAAAATGAAATCGCCACGTTGCGAGACAAGTTCCAGATCAAAGAAAAGACCTTCGCCCACCAGCAGATCCTGCTGAGCGAGACTCAGCAGCGCTTGAAGAGCCTCGAGGAAGAGATCAGTAACAACGGCAAGGAAGACGACGAGTTGCTAGTGACGATGCAGAAGGAACTCGAAGCGCTACGCGTCCAGAACGCTCAGATGAAGCTGAAGATGAGCAACGAGGCGCAGATTGTGCCGAATCTGGTCGAGAACATCATTTCCGACAAGAACGTGGACATAGAAAAGTTACGGGAGAAGCTGGAAGAGACCGAGAGGTTGCTAGAGTCCTACACTTCCCTCAATTTGGACAGGCGAGAGCTGCAGTCGTTATCCAACCTTAAGAGCCACGGTACTTCTCTGGAAGAGGTGCTGGGCATCCTGGATCTCAGTCAGAGGGAGCGCATCCGAAAAGCCAGCCGGGACGAGAGCGAACCGTTGGAGTTGTCGCATAATTATCCGTACAAGAGAAACGTCAACGAAACCGTTTTCCTAGGTAGCGCTTCCGAGCCCGAGATATCCACCATCGAAAAGGTGGGGCCCCACCTGTTCCAACCGGCTTCGGGAAAGACCAATTCTACAGAAATTTACAAGTCCGCAGAGAAACGGGTCCATTTCGAGGACACGGACGTCGCCCGACTCAACAACGCCGTTACCGCTTTAAACGAGGAACTGGAAGCGAAAGACAAAGTCATCAAAGAGTACGAGGAACGTCTGAAGCTGCTGAACAGTCTGGAAGAAAAAATCGAGAAGCTGCAGTCTTCTTTGGAACAGACGGAAAAGGCCCTGGTGACGGCAACAGAAACGTTTGAAAGGGAACAGCACGACTCGCACGAAAGAGAAAAGAATCTAGGAGTGGAGCTGGCGGAGAAGAAGCTTCACTTATCCGAGAGGGAGAAGAAAATCGAGATGTTGGAACAGGATTCGCGCAGGAAGGATCAGATGTGCTTGGACCTGGCGGATCAGAAGCGGGATCTGGAGCAAGCGTTGAGCAAATTTAAACATGAGAGCTGGAAGAACTTGGATACCGTGATTAAGGAGAAGAACGAAGAAATTGACACATTACACTCGTCTCTACGTAACGCCGAACGTCTCAATGAGGAAATGGTGGGCGTGAGGGAGGATTTACAACGTAAAAATATGGAACTGACATCTCTGCAGAAGGAGTTGAATACCTTGATTAATAACGTGAAAGAACTGTCGGAAAATAACAACGAATTGGAGGCGAAAATGAAGGAAACCAACGAAGAGAACGTCAAGCTTATCAAGGAGAAACAGAACGCCACCATCCAAGTAGAGACTCTGATAGCGGAGATGAACAACCTGAAGGAGAAACTCGGCAAGAAGAGGAGGACGGTGAAAGAGTTGGAAGACGTCGTAGAAGACCAGAGACGGTCAATCGGAATCTTGGAGAATGAGGTGAAGAAACAAAGAGACGTTATAGTCGACAGGGAGTGCGAGATCGAAATCGCCAACGAAGACGCCAAGCGGTACCAGAACGACATAGCCACGCTCGAGGATCGTATCGAGCAGCTCGAAAAGGGGGAACATAAAAAACTAATAGACCGACTCGAGGAGGACCTCAAGGAAAAAGACGCGAAAATCAAGGAACTGAACAAGGAAATGACGCACCTACAGGAGCTGCTCAACGAGAAGGACAAGATCATCAACCAGATCTCGGAGGACAGCCACAAGCTGCACGTCAACCTGGTGACGATCCAGGCGAAATTGAAGGAGACCGGCAACATCATCGACCTGGGCAACAAGCTGAAAGAGGAACAGAAGAGGACGGCCGAGTTGGTGGAAGAAATCCACGGCTTGAAGGCTCGTCTCATGCAGTACGAGGCGACCAAGAGGAACAACCCCATGACGACTTCCGTGGACGAGATCGCCGACCAGGTGAAAAGAGAACTGGACTATTCCGCCCAGATCGATTCGAACATACTCAGCGCCGTCAGCGACCAGAGCTTGAGCTCCATCTCCGACAACCAAGAGGCGGAAATCTTCAAGAAGGCCCTGGCCAAGGAAAAGTCGACCAGGAAGCAGCTTCTCCGGGTCCAGGACGGACTGAAGAGGCAGGTGACGGATATGGAGGAAAAATGTACCGCCCTGCAGTCGTTGAATGAAAAATTACAGAGTTCCTTAGAGAGTGAACGTTTGCTTTTACGACAGACGCAAGCGGAAGACGCGAAACTGATAGAACAGATGAGGATTCAATTGGACACGGTTCTGGACCACGAGGAGGTACTGGAAAGAATGGTGGCCGAGGAGAAAGAGGCAAAGAGACAGCTGGAGACGGAACTGGAGGCGGCGAGACAGAAAACGGCGAGCTCTACCTCTAAGACGGAATCTACGGAGTACAAGGCGCTTCCCAGCAAGGAAACAATCGAATTGAACCAGCTGAGAAAGGACTTCACCGCGGTTCGAGACGAGAATGACGGTTTGTCGAAAGAACTGAACGCTTTGAAACGGGCGCAAAGTGAGATGGAGGTGAGCTATAAATACACCAAGGATATGTTAGGTCTGGAGATGGGACGTGCGAAACTCCTGGAAGACAAAGTGCAGGCTTTGTTAAAGAACGAGAAAGAACTGCGAGACGTCTTGCTGCAGAGAAAAGTCGAGGTGGAGGAGAAGTTACACGAGATCGAGAACAACAAGATCGTAATTGTAAGTATTGTGGTGAACGTTACGGATTTCGAGACACGTGTGTCGTATTTCAGGACGAAATGGAACAGGAGAAGGCTCTCTTAACCAAACAGAACTCGGAACTGACGCAAAGACTGAAGACGCAGATGTCGACGGAGCCCCAGATGACTCGGACGTCGCCCGTTCCCGACGTCCTGCTCGATAGGATCAAAGAACTGAAAAACGACCTCGTGGACAATAAGAAGTTCATCGACCTCATCCAGAAGATGTCGCAAGAGAAGAGGAACTTGGAGAACGAGCTCGCAGCGTTGAGGGGACAGAAGAGTGCTAATATGCCTTTTGCGGACTTAGTCGCGAGGGTAAGTCTCGACGTTACGTAACGAACAGTGGCGGATCGATAATTTTGTTACGTTTCAGAGCGATTTCTTGTTTGCGAAGACTTTACGGCTGGAGAGTACGAAGAAAGCTTTGATCTGGCAGAAGCGGTACCTGCTAGACTACCTCCAGGGCCACCAACGGCACTGCCTGGTCGAGGCATTACCTCACTTGACAGTGTACAGGAATAAGTTCAAACATCAACGTTTGCCACGGGAGCGGTTCAGGTAAAAAACTTTTTTTGTAAAAACGACACGCACTTTCGACAATTTTTTATTGCTGTCAACCACTATTTCTCCGCAAGTTCGTCTCTGAATAAGATTTCATCATATAATCGGAGTAATTAATCTCTTTGCAGCCAATCAAACCTCTTCCATCGTAAAGTCGTGATAATTCTGCGCCATTAAAACGTTTAAACTATAAATTTGCAGGTTTTCTGTCCGTTTCTCATTCCGGAATATATAGTGCGTCTACAAAATTTCATTGTTGCTTTACCAAAGAGTAAATATACTTTGAGTAGGGGGTTATATTTACACGGAGGACATCTTTGACTTGTAGAAACGTATACGAGTTTGTTTTTTCAAATTCCTTTTGAGAATTTAATTTTTTGTAATTTGTATCTTTTCCAGTACGATATTTTTGTATTGTTCATACCCCGCCGCTGGACGTGCTGGTATAACCTCGTACAATATCACACGAAAACTTAACGATGAAGATACACAAACACACCGTATCGTCACTAAACACTGAAATAACTAACTTACACTACAAAAAGCATATCGGCAAATTCCAATTCTTTTTTTACTGTAAAATTAAAGTTAATAAAACACAACACTGCAGATCAGAACTTATCCAAAAAAAAAAAATTTTGGATGTACAGGGGACTTACAAATACAATTTTGTAAAAAAAAAATCAAAAAGGGCATTTTGGTCCACTGTAAAATCTGACCACAATGCGACCGGAATGGAGGCAAAGTGTGATAAAAACGAATAAAAATTTGAAAGAATTTCGAAAAGGAAAGGAATACATAGAATTTTATAGACCTATTTTATATCAGCAAATTCAACTGCTTTTGGCGCTATCGTTATTTATAATTAATAAAATTAATTTATGGTTTTAATTAATAAAATAATTTGACATACCTGATGTACAACAACTGTTCAAAATTTTGTCCACCGACGTGTAAAAACATTTGGCCCGTCTTACTCAGTTTCTATGAACTAAAACAAATGTCCTGTTTCACCATAATACAAATCTTGTCTTGCTTCGCCATAAATTAAAACGATATCCATCAACTCCGAGTTGCTATACACGCAAGCCATTTTTCACACTAACTACTAAAAAACTATTGTAAACACTATCTCAAGGGCGATTGTAAAATCGGATTTCAGTATTCGCTAATCTGGGATGTTTGTATGACAGTCATTTTTTCGAGGGGTAGAACTTTTTATAGAGTGACATTTTTCGATAAATTCAAAAACAAAAGAGTTTCTCTTCTTATCAACTCCATCCGTGGACACACTGTGCATTATTAGTAAACTTTATTGTACTTAAATTCTCAAGTTTTTACTAAATTATTTTATTAAAAAAGTAAAAAAAATCAAAAAATCTTATTTTTTACTTTCTTTAAAATTGTTTATNTTGACATACCTGATGTACAACTGTTCAAAATTTTGTCCACCGACGTGTAAAAACATTTGGGACCATCTTACTCAGTTTCTATGAACTAAAACAAATGTCTTGTTTCACCATAATACAAATCTTGTCTTGCTTCGCCATAAATTAAAACGATATCCATCAACTCCGAGTTGCTATACACGCAAGCCATTTTTACACACTAACTACTAAAAAACTATTGTAAACACTATCTCAACGACGATTGTAAAATCGGATTTCAGTATATGCTAATCTGGGATGTTTGTATGACAGTCTCATTTTTTCGAGGGGTAGAACTTTTTATAAAGAGTGACATTTTTCGATAAATTCAAAAACAAAAGAGTTTCTCTTCTTATCAACTCCATCCGTGGACACACTGTGCATTATTAATAAACTTTATTGTATTTAAATTCTCAAGTTTTTACTAAATTATTTTATTAAAAAAGTAAAGAAAATCAAAAAATCTTATTTTTTACCTTCTTTAAAATTGTTTATTGATTTTTTGCATAAAATTTTGCTTTTAAATTTTTTAAATAAGCCATTTGAATGGGAGATCCAATTCTCTAAATAATTTTTTCCTATGAACTATACCGAAATTTTGTTTCGTTTTCGTGCTATATTTAAAAAACTGCAAAAGTGCATTTTCACCCCTATCTTCAATTTCAACCCTCTAATTTAATAGCACCTCACGGTTTTTTAATTTTGAATGACCTTTGAACAAGTCATGTGATGAAAATCCTTGAATGTCTTATTTCCTTCCTTTTTTGCAAAAAATAAGAATTAAAACGTATAATGGTAAACGCGACGAAAATCGAAAAACTGGCTAAGTTTGAGCAGCCATATATCAATCAATTTTCATCCAAAAATACTCTACAGCCTCTTGTTTTGAAGGAAATTGGCAAAAAAGTAAAAAAAAAACAGAAAATCAAATTTTTTGCTTTTTTTAAATAAGCTATTTCGATGGAAAATTCAATTCTCTAAATAATTTTTCCTATGAACTATACCGAAATTTTGCTTTGTTTTCGAGTTACAATTAAAAAACTGAAAGGGGTGCATTTTCACCCCTCTCTTCAATTTCCACCCTCTAATTTAATAGCACTCCGCGGTTTTTTCATTCTAAATAACCATTTGAACGATTCATGCAATAAAAACCCATCAACGTTGTAGTTCCATACCGTATGACATAATCAATAGCCTATAAATAAATTCTATTTAAATAAAATTATTTTCATTTTTTGGAAAGCAAATTTTTGTTCTAATACAACAAAAACAAATTGCATCTCATTATTCTTCGAACTGACTGTAAATAATCAATTTTCGACTGGAAAACAGGGAAAAGTCAGGGAAATTGGAAAAATTATTCCCCTAGCAACTCCACCTTACTTATAAACTTAAAATTTAAACAAAACGATGTGATTTAAATATATTTATACATATTTCCAGATCTACGGTTTTTGTCGTAATCTCCATAGTGCGTATGAAATACCTGGTGCGACGTTGGCACAGTGGCGTACGCATAGCCGAAAAGATCAATTCCCGCCACTACAGGCACCAGTCGGCCAAACAAACCGAAACCGCCTTCCCCGCCCAATTCCAGGTGGGTCAACCCGTCTCCAGCCAGTTCTTCTCGAACAACGTAGGCGGACGATTTGGTGCACTGGGTCCCAAAAACTTTTTCCACACAAATCAGACAGATTCTCAAGAAAACGCTGCTTTCGGGGGGTTCGACGAAGAGAGGGTATCGCCCTCCCCTACCGTGAGGGATCTTCCCCCTTGGTCGGGAAGTTCGCCGCCTTCCAAGGAGGGCAGCGACAGGAGGATAAGGATCGGGTAAGTGTTGTCGTTCGCTTCATCTAGGATTTCGATATGTACAGAGTGTGTTGCTTAACGTTGTCGCTGGTTAGACGCTGAAAAATGTTTTTTAATTCATTTCTAGTCGTGGCTGGAGGAAGGTAAGGGGTACAACCTGGCATAAATGTTTTTTTTTCATACTTGTGGATGGAGTAGTTCAAACGTAACTTTGTGTGGAAGTTATATTAATTATTATACAGAGCTTGCTTTGACTTTTAGAAACACGTATCAATAGTTTATTTTTCAAATTCCATCGTAAAAGTAACCTAGTAAAAAACTCAAGCAGTAATCAATGAGATACACAAAAAGAAATAGTCTGTTGATGGCTTCCAGCGGAGAAAAACATTCAAATTCACAGTTCCAGTCTCCAAATGTGGTACAACAACTGATCCCCTTCGCTTCGTCACTATTGACCCACACTATCTCCCTTCACATGCACTGTAGGTTGCCTACAATTCATGTAATTGTAATACACGAATATTACATGAGTATTAAAGTGCATTTTAAAAAACTAATTATAAACGCGACTATTTACTCATTTAAAAAAAAATAATTTGAGATTTGTATCAAAGGGAACACTTATTATTATCCCTAAAAAACTGAGTCCCACTTAAAGTTACTCCCTGTATATTTCAGTTCTGGGTGTACAAAATATTATTTTGTAAAAACTTCCATTTTGTCAGATATCGTTGGTTTTCCAATCATTATCGCTAATTTTAGCGAACCGTTAAATAACTTTATGTTTCGCTAAAGTTGTCATATTTTAAGAACGTGTATTTTGGTGTTAAAATATTAACGACAGTATTTAATTTATAAAATGGCTTTCGAAATTGTTCTAATCGTTGAATTAATAAAAAAAAAAATTGGTAGGCAATATAATATTAAGATTTTCTTTGTTTTCACTTTGATTTAGGACTATTTACTTATTTTTTATATAAAATCGATTCTTGGGATGCTAATAAGACTTTTTAAATGAAAACCGAGATCTTGAAAAACATTTATTTGATAAATTTAAATAAAAAAAATAAACCCCGTTTATATTTATTTGCCAGCAAAGTTCTGTTTTTGCAATTTGTGTTGTATTTTTTTTGTATTTCAAATTTTTTTTGCGTAATTAAATATTTAATTAGGATACCGCAAAAGTATTTTAGATTTACGATGCATATTGATTAAAAAAAACTAAAAACAAATGCTTTTTTATTTCAATCCTCATATTTTTTTCATATTTGAAACTAGGCAAAAATTACAAATTTGTATAAAAAAAACTACAGAGCATTCTTGTCAATAAACAATAAAAAAAATTGCAACGCTTTTGATTTTACGAAATAAAATTTCATGCCAATTTGAACATTGCTGTCTTTCGCCCATGTCAGTATCGATTACACGGCCATACAAAAAAATAGTTGTCTACTTTTTATGCTATCGCATCACATGAATTTCCTAACCTCAAAAAACAGGTCAAAAATAGCAAAAATTCACTAAAGTGCTAGGAAAAATACAAACAATTTTTTTCTCTATATTCAAATGTTTATTTATATGGATAAGACCACGCCGAACGTGACTCCGCGGTCAGAATTAATGGTTCATTTTTTAACCTCAAAAAACAAATAAAATGGGTCAATTAATGTCAGATATCACGAATTTTCAAAAAAATAACATTCGCGCCAAATTTGGTATACGGGCGATTTCGGGGCCGCTGATCACGGATCCGAGGTCAATTTTGTAAAATTCAAAATGGCGATTCCAAGATGGCCGACCAAATTTTCAAAAAATAGATTCGCGCCAAATTTGGTATACGGGGGTTTTCGGGGTCGCTGATCACGGATCCGAGGTCAGTTTTGCAAAATTCTAGATGGCGAATCCAAGATGGCCGAAGAAATTTTCAAAAAATAACGTTCGCTCCAAAGAGTGACCGCAAAAATCGCCCGTTTTTTTCACAATTCGCAGAGAACTAAAGAAAATTGATAAAATTATGTTTTTGGTCTCAAATTACTCGTCGTTAAAAATTAAGATGAACATAGCTTTTAGTTTTTTGACAATTTTTAGAAATCACTCCTATTTAGGGGTTGAAAAGTTGCCCAAAATGAAGAATTGAATATTACCAATAAATGTAAAAGCTATTTTTAATTAGCATGTGAATTTTTTTATCGAATGATTCTTGATATAAAGAAAATGTATTCTCATGACTGAAATAAGCATGTTGAATTAGAAAATCCACCCTTAAGCGCGCTCAGGGGGAGGAATCATCAGATATAATTGTAAAAATTCCAAAAAAAAATATATGAAGATAATTCACATGCTAATTAGTTTTTATATCAATTGGTAATATTCAAATTCTTAATTTTTGGCATTTTTTCAACCCCTAAGTAGGGGTGATTTTTTAAATTTTCAAAATTCTAAATGCTATGCTCATTTCAGTTTTTTACGACAAGTAATTTGCAACCAAAAACATATTTTTATAAATTTTTTTTAATTCTCTGCGAATTGTGATAAAACGGGTGAAAATCACAGGTTTTTTGCGGTCACTTTTTGGTATACGGGGGTTTTCGGGGTCGTTGATCACAGATACGACGTAAAGTTTGCAAAATTCAAAATGGCGGATCCAAAATGGCCGATCAAATTTTCAAAAAATAACATTCGAGTCAAATTTGATATACGTGGGTTTTTGGGGTCGCTGATTACGAATTCGAGGTCAAAATTGAGAAATTCATTTTGTAATATTTTTGTTTACTTCATAACCTGAGTACCCAATCATGTTTTAACCTTCTTCTTTTCGACTATATCTTGTTATTTTTCTGTAAAAGATCTATTAACGGGTTTTCTGCCTAATCTTAGTAATCAAGTACATAGGTAATTAATTAATTAAATTTTTAAAAAGGAATTTTGTAAATCTGATCTCGGATTCGTGATCAGCGACCCCGAAAACCCCCGTATACCAAATTTGGCGCGAATCTGTTGTTTTTTGAAAATTCCTGATATCTGACCTTAATTGACTTGTTTTTTTGAGGTTAGAAAAAGAACCATCAATTCTGACCGCGGATTCAGGTTCGGCGGGGTCTTAATTAAAATAAATGAACATTTGAATATAAAAGAAAAAATTTTTTGTATTTTTCCTAGCACTTTCATGAATTTTTGCTATTTTTGACCCGTTTTTTGAGGTTAGGAAATTCCTGTGATGTGACAGCTCAATTCTGGCACCGCATTCGTGATCGGGAGGCAAAGACTACTTTTTTTTGTGTGGTTGTGTTATTACTTCTTAGAAATATTAGTGAAAATATTGAACGATTCGATGTCCTTTCAGGTCCCACGTTCTCAGCAGGGAAGACATGACGCCGCTCAAAGCCCCGCTGCTCCTCGCTCAGTTCTCGGAACGTTTCGATCAGATCCGAGAGACGCTGGGCATCGCCCTGGACTCTAACGCCACGTAGCGCCCATCGGCAGCCTATTTCCTAGATAGCATGTTCAAAACTATTTGTTCTGTGTTAAAACGTCTAGAAATCGTTGATTTTTTACTAGGTCTAGTCATTTTCGTTACTCTTTCCTATCTGATCGGGATTTTCGTTGATTTTGAGGTGTATTTATTTTGTAAAGTTGTGAATTTAGTTTCTAGGTAGGTGAAAAATGTTTGAGTTACCAGATAAATGTGATGAGTGCCTTCGACTCACGTGCCATGTTCGTGTAAGTGATTGAGAGTTTATATTTAGGTACCTTTAGGACGGAGTATTATCACTGAAGTGCATTTGGTATTGTAGATTTTGTACGATTTGTTTATTAAAGCACTATTTACGGAATGCTGGTTTATTCAAAGTCCCCACAAAAAGGTGAAAGTTTTGACGAGGATGTCGTCATGAATACTGAATTTTTTGGTAACTTTTTTAGTTATTTTTCGTACCCCGCCGCTGGACAGCCTAGCATAACCTCAAACAATTGCACGTGTTAGCCTTGTGCGTGTACCCAATTGGGTACTGCAGCATGCAGTGTTGTCAAATCTTTCTAGATTCGGATTCAAGTTTTTTCACAATATTGTACAGAAATTTAACAATGAAGATACACAAACACACCACATTGTCACTAAACACGAAAACAAATGACTATCTAACAATTTAAAATTGCCGAGAGATTATCTGAGATCTCGAATAAATAGAACACAGCTATAGTATAAATTCATTATTACTAATTTAAAACTTATCGGTTAATTACGTTACAAAAAGAGAGCCATCTATTAGCAGTTTCCTAAGCGTAGACACTCAGTTCCCCCCCAAACATCAATAAATGGCTTTGGTAGTTGCATTTTGGCGTTGACAATGATTTACGTGTTTTTTTTTCAATTTTTTTACTGTCCACGAAAATCTGGATGACTTATTGGAAAATTAGTCATTTTATGCTTTAGGTAATTAAATTACCTACAATTTAAAGTATCTAAAGTCATATTTCACTAATTTGTTAACTAAAATAAAGGTCGCATGCGGAAATAACAGTTTTGGAAAATGGCGCATTATTATTGCAAAAAGCGATGGATGTTGATGAAATTTGTGGAAAAGATCGTTAATCCGAAGATCAACATATGTCGTATCGAAAAAGAAAATTTTCAAATAGTTGGAATTTATAAACAGTTGTCCCAAGGTCGAGCAAAAGCTGCTCGGGAATTCGCTCTTTTTGCATTATAGAGAGCTTATTTTTACGTTTGTTATAACGCTACGGTTATTTTAAAAGTGGTGGACTGTATCAACTTCTAACTGTTAGACAAGCAAAAATAAGATGGTTGGAGACGGCTTACCACTGTTGCAGTTCACTGTCTTCTTGAAGGGCCCTTCTAGTGTCTTAAATTTGAAGACATGGAGTAGGGAATCGATCAGGAAAACACACGCACTTGTTTCTATATCAAGTATTGCTATCGAATGAACTGACTCGCACAAAAAACCATTCCCAACGAAAAAAATACGTAAAGGATATGAATATTTGATTGAATTAAAAATAAGTCAGTTAACGATTAACGTTATACATATAAAATAAATTTATCTCGGGAACAAAAAGGCCTAGGTGATTTCTTTTTTTTAGAATTACCATAAAAATAAGCTCTAATGCTAAAAAGAACAAATTGCCGAGCGGCTTTTGCCTGTTCCTGGGACAATTTGATTATATAAAAAATATAAATTCTAAATGGCTGATTTAATATGGCCGACTTTTTTAAACAATCTAATAAAAAATGACAATTTTCAAAACAATTTTAATCAAACTGATATTATAGGGATTTTCGAAGTCGCTGAACAAGAATATTATATCGGAAAATAAAAATTCAAAATTTCTGATCCAATATGGCCGACTTTTTTAAACAATTTGTTAAAAAATTACAATTTTCAAAACAATTTTAATCAAACTGATATTATAGGGGTTTTCGAAGTCTTTGAACAAGAATATTATATTGGAAAATAAAAATTCAAAATGGCTGATCCAATATGGCCGACTTTTTTAAACAATTTGTTAAAAAATGACAATTTTCAAAACAATTTTAATCAAACTGATATTATAGGGGTTTTCGAAGTCACTGAACAAGAATATTATATTGGAAAATAAAAATTCAAAATGGCTGATCCAATATGGCCGACTTTTTTCAACAATTTGTTAAAAAATGACAATTTACAAATGTATACGAAATAGTCTTAGTGTTTTTTGAAAAAAAGATTAATAACGACTCTAAATTATTTTGCTTCTTTTACGTCTAATCTGTAAAAATTGAAAATAAATATAATAAACAATATTTTATTATTGAAAGTTTATTACAAAAGTTACAAAAAATGTATACGAAACTTTCAAGTGCGAGTGCCAGGTGAGCTCCATTCACCGAGTACATGTTCTCTCTATCTCTTTCTAATATTCAAAAGTATAGTTCTCGAATCACGAGATTGAATTAAATTACCAGATGAACTTCTACCACATAATTTCATTGTGAAAAAATATAAGTAAAACTGAATCTCTCGACAATTTAATGAAAAACAGTATTTTTTCGTATTTTATACAATATTATAGTAACAAAATTTTTTTTTTTTAATTTATTCTCTTTTTAAGATCAAATATTGGTTAAACAAGCAAAAAAATTTCTTTTTAACTTTATTAGTTTATTTAACAAACATCGTTTTAGAACAAATTTTTTGTTTGTTTGTTTTTCTTTAAATTTCATTATAAATTCAACGTTTTAAATAAAACAAAATGGACCATCTTAAAGTGCAGTCTTCACAAGCTTCAAAAAATACTCCTGCAAAGTTGCAATATCATATTTTGAACTAAAGTTATTGGACTTTGAAACGTCCAATAACTTTAGTTCTACCTAAAAAATCAAATTTGCCTTTTTAAAAATTATTAAATATTTCGAGCGTTGCATTTTTTGAATGAGAATTTTAAGATTTTTTTTATATCACTCACTATTTTAAATGCTATTTCAAGAGTAATTGTGAAAGTTTTAGATTTTTATCTTAAAAATTAAGAAAATGGCAGATCTTTAATTAATTTTGAAGAAAATTTTATCGTTACGTAACTTTAATTACACACTATTCCTGTAAATATTTTTTTTCGATTTTAAAATCATGATAACTTGGTAGTTACAAGATGCCCCTTTCATTTAAATTTTTGTGGACTTAATTTGATCAAATAGATCAAAAGTTATAACAAATTTTCATTTTAGAAAATAACTATATACATTTTTCATGTAAAATTCTTTCAATTGGCGCAATTAGTTTTAAAAAAAAATTGAATTTGTTAAGATATACAATAAACAATGGAATTTTGCAACTAATTTGTTAAATAAATAATCAAGCGTGCACTCTACGGTTGGTAACTTTTTATGTGTTCCTAACACCCTCACAAGTGTTCTCTCGAGTTTTCCGCTCTTTTCTTTTTTTTGCTTTTCTATTTTTTTGTGGGCAGAAAGTGTGAAAAAACATGTGTTTTTTTGCGTTTTTTTTTCTTTTTCCCGTTTTGGTCACTTCTTTTGAGTCACTTTTTTGATATTATCACATATATACCCCTCCCCGTCATAAAGTGAGTAAATATGACCACTTTAATGTTCCTCAGCTGTCTTTGATAACCAGTTGTTTTTTAATACTAACATTCAAATTTTGAAAAACGATCGTGTAATCAATTTTATTGACTAAGTTTCTAATAAAATACTTGGTACATCTTTAGTTAAACTTATGCTTTTGCTTCCTAATCTCACCCTGAGCGAAATATTTTAATATATACCAAGGCATGACTGAAACTAACGACAATTTGACATTACAATACGAATCGTTGCCGCACTGATATTTGGCAACAACATGAGAATCGGAGCTTAAAGCGCCGTCGATAACGTTAGAAACCGCCTCGATGTAACACAGAATTGTTGGGTTTTGACCGAGCTCCACAAGAACATTCGTCGTTTTTGTACATTCCAAGTAAAACAGTTTATCGCTTTTGTCGCTAGTAACACCTCTGAAATTAGCACAAATGTTCTTCCACAGCGGTAAAGTGTGAACCAGACAGATATTGTTACACCCTGTGATGAGCTTTTTGTTGATGTAGGGCTGTATAAGTTTGTATAACTTGGCGCTTTTATCATCCAGACAGCGCAGAACGCTATTCATATCGTCTTCTCCAGCTTCTGTTAGTAAGTCTTCCACGTATATCAAGCCCAAGTATTTTGACAACTGCTTACAAACCGATTTATCCAAAAATATCAGCACGTCCACATGCACCGTGGTTCCAGTGATCTGCGTGAGGTTTTTGTCGTGGTATTTCAGCATGGATTCGCAGTCAGCTTCAAGAGCTTTCCGATATGTTTTAAGTTTCTTTTTTAAATGTGCAGCGTCCCCTGCCTCTAAATCTGAGTCCAAAGATTCAGCGTTCGACGATTCACTAGCGTCTACCGTCTTGGATAGAATATACAAATGCTGGTAACCAATAGTGTCCATTTTTCCAATTATTTGGTGTGATCTTTTCAAGGAAGGCGCAAGGAAACATCGGCTGTGAGTGTACATTAACTTTTACGTCCATTTTGCCGGTTTCTTCCATCGTATGTCGATATTTATTTTTTTTAAAGAGCATGTACAATATATCTTGTTCGTAATTCTGTGGTAACAGATTTTCATCGATATATTTCATAAAAGCGGTTATGACACTCGTGAGTAACTTTTGTAACGACTCGGTGTTGGAGAATTCGATGTAAAGGGAACATCTTAGTTGTTCATTCTCAGGAACTAAGTTGTCGGGTTCGAATATCAAGCCTTCCAGTTTTTTAAAATCCATTCTAAAAAGCAACACAAACATGAGATTGTGAGAGAAAGTTGTAGGTTTTAAAAAGGTCTATTGACTTTTTATAAGTATCGATTATTATTTTGTTACTTTTCGAGATATATCGAAAAAAACATTAAAAATCTTTTCTCTTCTATAACTTGTTTACATTTACGTTCCCAAAAAAAGAACGTTTCTGAAAAATTTAAAAATATTAATTATTTTTCAATATATTTCGATTTTTTGAAAAAAAGAGGTGCTCTCGAAAATTGGCTAGATCTTCTCAGCGGATGGTCCTACAGTAAAGATTTTCAGCTAATTTTCTTCGTAAAGAATTGTATTGCCATGCTTTTAAACAATTTTTACGATTTTATTAATTTTATTAATCAAAAAAATGACTTCGAAAAATTGCACTTTTTTTCGGAAATGTTATTTTCATATAATTATTTCAATTTTTATTTTATGAAAATGACTTTTAAAGAAATAAATTGCTGACGTTTTGGAAATGACTTAAAAAAATAAATTGCTG